AATGAAAAGAAAACTCTGGAAAGATTATGGAACGTCTGCCTTATGACTACAACCATTTCTTCCCTATCACTCACTGTCTAAGTATCCCATCTATGTTTATTTAAGGGCTATCATATTTTAGCAGCTCCTAATATCTCATGAGTTTCTTGATGCCTTCCCAATATGTGACCACTAGATTTGAAAAAAAAAAAGTCCAGATTGAGTAACATTTTGTATCCAAGGGAAGAGCAACATGTAGAGCTGGCAGTTTAAGGTCTGTAATTGTGGGTGGTAAGAATAATGGCTGAAGAAACTTTGATTAGGATATCTCAGAGTTTGGAAACACTTAAGAAGAAAATGTAAGTGAGAGGTGACTAGCATGGTGCTGTGTGCTGTGGTCCCAGCTACTCTGGAGGCTGAGGCAAGAGGGTCACTTGAGCCCAGAAGTTTGAGGCCAGCCTGGGCAACACTGTGAAACCCTGACTTAAAAAAACAAACAAATGGAGTTGAAAGGGTTTTCCCTTGTGTCCCATCTAGTACATGTCAACCTGTAAAATGTTTTGGGGGAGGTGCTGAAGGTTGAACTCAGGGCTTCATGCTTGTGCTCTCCTGCTTGAACCATACTTCCAGTCCATTTTGCTCTGGCTATTTTGGAGACAGGGTCTCACAAACTATTTCCCCAGTCTGGGCTTCAACTATGATCCTCCTGATATCAGCCAACCACTTAGCTAGGATTATAGGCGGGTGTAAGCCACTGGTGCCCGCCAAGGAAAATATTTTTATAGATGGAAACCAGGCAGCCACATTGGTACACCATCAGCTATGTGGTCCAAGGACAATTAAGATACTTGCTTCTGCTTCCTTGTTTGAGAAATACTAATTTAGTACAAAGTTGATTGAATCATTACCTTTCTACCTCTATTTGACTGACTTTTTCTAGGTGTCAGCATACTGAATTAAAAAACCTTCCCTGAAATTCTACTTTCCTTGGCTTCCCCTCTGTTGAATTTTGTTGAATAGAATGCCTGACTCCTGCCTAACTTGGCTTTTTGTTCATCCTGGCTCATGCTAGAGCAAATGGATAGCTTGGATCAGAGTCCAAGGAGTCAGGGCCTGCTGACCTCTCTCACAGGGCTGGTTCCTCTGGAGTCTGGTTTGTAAACAGTTCTTGGCAAATACTCTGGAGGAGAATAGAGTCACTAACAATAGCAACTCTCTTTTTAGCTTGAATCTCTTAGTACTCAGGACTGGGAATTTAGAAAAACCAAAAATAACCTATGTAATTGCAGTGGGTTACCCTTACTATTTCTGCTATTACCAACATCAGATGTCATTCCAGTAGATATTTAGCTGCTTGTAGTGGAAAAAGGGGCTTACTGCCAAACAGACAGATTCAAGACCTAGCTAGACTGTTTACTAATTTTATGACATTGGGCCAGTTACTAATTTGAGCCTAATGAGTAAGTGAATATACAAGCAAATGCTTAGGAACCTGCATACTGTAGTACAAAGTTAAAACATTCAGACTGGGAAATGAAGAAAATCTGAAGGTTTCAGAAAATAAAGTAAATTCCTAAGAAGCACTTAAATCAACTAGAAGCAAGATAGGTCTTACTCTGTGCTCAATGCCATGCTATCTTTTTTCTTTCTTTTTTTTTTTGGTGGGACTGGGGTTTGAACTCAGGGTTTCACTCAGGCAAGCACTCTACCATTCAAGCCACACCTCCAGTCCATTTTGCTGTGTCTGAACTGACTTTGCATTGTAATCCTCTAGGTCTCAATCTCCCATGTAGCTAGGGTTACAGGCATGAACCACTGTGAGACCATTCCATGCTGTCTTAAAAACAACAATAACTTTGAAGACAGACTTCACTTTTGTTCATGATGAAGTTGAAAATAGGGAAGAATTTATCAGATCCTTTTATATCAAGGAGTGGTACAGGTGGAGGAGGCTTTCCACCTGTTAAGTAAAGGAAAGATGGCCATTGCTTATGTGCTGGCTGACAAAGTGGTTTTCTCTAAAGATAAGCCATTGTTTCTACCACTTAGAATTTTTTGTTTTTATATTAGAGAAAGAGCTTGGTCCTTTAGACCGGCCTATTTTTGTCCTCTGTGATTTTTTTGCACACATTAAAAGAGACATACATGAAAGAAAAGTGCTTAAAATGTTGCTAAAGCAATATAAATATCATCACAACTGCCATCTGGCTGACAGTGATCATAATAACACTTAATTTCAAATGTGGTAAAATGGGAAAATTGCAACAGTAAGCACCCATGTTTCCCCTGCTTAGATAGTTAACAACTTCTTACAGAATCATGCTCCCATCTGTACACTTCACTGTTCTGGTGCTGTTTCCCTCTTTCTTACCTACCTCAGGGACAGTAACTCATCTAAACTCAGAGTTTATTATTCTCATTTCCTCTCTCATCTTACCCAATGTGTACCCTAACCAATACATTTTTTAAATTTCTGACGTGGCGAATAATGAGAACTTGCTTTTTCATTCAATAAGGATTGAGATTCATTCACTCAGATGTGTATGGCTGCATTTTTTTTGTGACTATATAGCATCCCATTGTCTGTATATTCTATAGTTTAAAAATTCTTCTCTTAGCTGGGCACCAGTGGCTCACACCTGTAATCCTATCTACTCAGGAGGCAAAGATCAGAAGGATTGTGGTTCAAAGCCAACCTGGGCAAATAGTTGGTGAGACCCTATCTCGAAAAAACCCTTCACCAAAAAGGGCTTGGTAGAGTGGTTCAAGTTGAAGGCCCTGAGTTCAAACATCAGTACCGCAAAAAAAAAAAAAAATTATCCTCTTCATAGGCATTAGAGCTACTTCCAGTGTTTTTCTACTACAAATTATTTTGCTCTACACATTATTGTAGAAGTCTCCTTTAACATGTGTGTGACAGTTTTTCCAGGGCATATATATGTAGGAATGTAATTGCTAAGTCTAGTTGATAGACCATTCTATCTTAATTGCATGAATATCTTGAAGGGACACAGTCTCTTTGCTTAGTCTATGAAGTACACTGAATATCTATGTTCAGAGACTTTGAAGGAGAAGTAACAGAGAGGAAGGTAGTGGTGGTACTTCCCAGCCTATTATCTATAACTTTCAGTCATAACCTCACTGAAAAGGGGCTGTGGCAAGACAGTGAGCTGACACTGGCTCTGTTGGATGTACAATATGAACCACTTATTAAGACTAGTTGACATCACAGGTCACTGTTAGACTGTGGGTCATGGAATTTTAAACACATGGAGTTTCAGATATTGTATGGTTTGGGCTAGGGTTGTGGCTCAGTGGTAGAGTGCTTACCAGGCCTTTGTGAGGCTTTGGGTTTGATCTCTAGTACCACAAAAATAAATAAATTAATTAAAATTTAAAAAGAGATTTTATGGTTTCCTGCTTTGTTTAAACTGCATAAGGGAAGCTGGAACTGGCTAAGAATTCTTTCCTAGGTCCTGATTCCCATTGTACCTTCCTGTCTGGCTCTGATTTAACAGGCTCAGCTTCAAAGGTTACTTTCCACCTGTTAAGGTATCATGGTGCTAACTCATCTCCAGCCCTTGGTCATTGTCTGTTCCCACAGACAATGGCCCCACATTGTTCCCTTCCATTGTCTTGAAAATGATGCTCAACTATCTCCTATGAGATGGGGCCACTGGTTTGGTAGTAAGACTGGCTCTGCAATTGTTTAACAAACAGCCAATTCTGGTACCTCTCACTTGCACCTTTAGTTGTAGAGCAGGTTCTGTTTTTTTTTAACGGTTCTGGAGTTTGAACTCAGGGCCTACATTTGGAGCCACTCCACCATCCCTTTTTTGTGTGTTGAGTTTTTTTGAGATAAGGTCTCACAAACTATTTGCCCAGGGCTAGCTTCGAACTGTAACCCTCCTGATTTCTGCCTCCTGAGTAGCTAGGATTATGGGCATGCATGCCCGGCTAGAGCAGCTTCTTAATTCCAACTGAGACAGGTCCTAAAATCCCTTATGGTGATACTGTGCCTGAACATTTTGTGAATAGAAGAGCTGGGTCTGCTGACTCATGGGCAGCATCACAAAATTTTAATTTGTAGTGATCTTATGGCTAGCTAATGACTGGCAGAAAGATGATTTTCGGACTGACTTATCTTCATTTGTCTTATTGCTACCTTTGCCTGTGCTGTGGTGGATCCTCCAACTGAGAGTTCTGTGTTGGGTGTGTTTCCCTTCCTATCTCTCCATCTGTGCTTCAGCACTGCCTTGAGAAACTCACTTAAGTAGCCTTTGCTCTGTGAAGTTGAGAGATCTCTCCACCTGCCCTTTTGCTGTTTGCACAAGTGGATAACTGGTAGTGTGCTTTTGTAGTTACCACACTCATTCTGGCTTTTGGGAACACCTGGAAGCCCGTCATGGAGAAACGTGGTACAGGACCTTTTCTTTGCTGGAAAAGATCTTTGTTTACCTTCAAGGTTTTGTCTTAAAAATCATAACCCCTGAGAAGCTTTCCTTCACCACCCACTGTATCTTGGTTACTCGCTATCATGGTTCTCTCTGTTCCCTTTGCAGCATAAAACACATGTATTTGTCCGTGAATTCCAATGAGTTATTATATTTGGCTATTTGCGACCCATTTATTGCATTAGTTTGTGAGCAACTCTAGCGCAGAGCCCTGAATCATTTGCATCTGTCATCTTCTAAGGTGGTGTAAAGCATTACATGGTTTAACTTTGCTCAAATCTGGTTTTTTGGAAACACCAACAAGGATAAAGGGGGAACAAGGGAAGGTGTAGCTAAGCAGAGTGGATCTGGGGGACAGTCAGGCTGGAAGGAAATGAGGGAAACCACTAGCCTTAGGTACTAACAAGGCTGCACCTCCTCACGTGACATCAGAGTGGAGGTCAGGAAGCCGAAGACCCGCGAGAAGCGCGGACAGATGGCGCGCACGCATACGTCCGTCGGCGCCCCGCCTTCCCGGAGCCTCACGCCCACCTTGAACCAGCCCCCGGCGTGCGTGACGCCATGACGCCGTGCGTGGTCGCGGCGGCGGCGGCGCAGGGGGCGGGCTCGCCGTGAGGCGTCGAAGGAGGAAGTGGAGTGGTTGTTGCTCCCTCTTCGCCCACCGCTGGCTCCCTGGGTGCGGAGAGGAGCCGCAGTCTCCGCTGCTGCGTCGCGCTCCCCTTCCATCCCCTCCATGTGCCCCGGCGCCCTCGCTCCCCTTCCTCAGGCCGCCGCTTACCCCGGGGTCTATGGAAGTAATGGAAGGACCCCTCAACCTGGTGAGTGGCCCACAGAGGGTTGCGTCCTCCGTGGGTTTGCCTTGGGAGTCTGTCCCTGTTCCCCGCGTGCAGGCTGACCTTTGAGGCCGCGAGGCGGGTTGGACAGGGTTGGTTACTGAGGCTGAGCGGCGCATGCAGGCCTGGACCCCACAGTGGCTCCGGGCAAGCCTCCCCAGACTTTGCCCTCTTCTGAGGTCTCTGGGAAGCTCCTGCCGCCTCCGGGCGTCCCCTGCGCAGGGCTCAGGGCGAGGGGATGATACCAGCGGGGGCTGCCGCCGCCCCTACGTCCCAGAGGAAATGTCCCGAGCGCCACGTAGCTACTTCCACACAGGCTGGAGCCCATATGGGCAGAAATGGTGCGTGGTACTGCCTGTAAGTTCTAACTCAGTGGGTCCGAGCCTAAGCCCCCCAACTTTGGAGAGAGGGAGTAATGCTCCCCTTGGCCCCATTTTTCTTACTCATTTAGCGCATACATTCAGTCGCATAAACTGAGCCTCCCTTCTCCCCGAATAAATTAGGGACAGCCGGGGGGGGGGGGGAGAAACAAAACAGCTGTTCTGTTTTTAGCCCAGTTTCAACCCTTTAGGCATCATGAAAGTACAAAAGATTTTGCCGTTTTCAGAAAAAGTAGTAGTGGACCTTACTACGTTTTTAAGCAATAAGAAACAGTTCTTTTCAGACCGGCCACCGCATCTTTTGGTTTCCTGGAAGTGGTTCATATTTTGGATACAAAAGTCAGATTACTTAACGTTGCCAGAGAAGAAGAACTTTTAAGTCACAGGTTTGGATTCATTTGTAATGGTGGGACTGAAGAAAGGACGAGTGGAACTCGCAACTACACTGTCTGGGAAGAGCCGGAGCCTTGGGCTGGTTTCAAACTATATAGAAAACGGGTAGAATCTGGTAGTTTAAAAGAGTATAGATTCTGAGGCCAGATTGCTTGGCCTTGAATTCTGGCGTAGTCACTTAGCTGCATGACCTTGGGCAAATTTCTTGACCTCAGGTTTGTTGTGAGTGAGGAGTAAATAAGGTATGGAGCACCTAGAACTGTACTAGATACATAGTACAATGTAAATTTTAATGTAAAATTTTAGTTATACGGTTAAAGTGAGTGTCTAAGGATTGTATCACCTATAGCTGTGCTTCCAGATTTGGTGCCAGGTTTGCTGTTCTGAGGAGGTGCTCCTTGTTTTAGTAAGTTGGACCCTGCCCGCATTTGTAAGAGTTGTTTACACCTAAGGGTGATTTGTCTACATTACTGAGTTTTTAAAAGCTTTTAAAGTGACATAGTTTGCAGTAAAACATGGGTGGCTCAGTACTGAAACTTCATAGGAATATTAGAAATATCCAGCCATTTACAGAGTGCTTCAAAGTTCAAGGGCCCTTGCAAAATGACCATTGGTTCAGTTCCAGTTTATTTGGCTGCATGCTGCAGCATAACCCCAGCCAACTGCTCTATAAGTGTGCGGTGGCTTATGAGAAGACTGAAACTGAGTGATGTGGGAGATAAAGCATCAAATCACCAGTTTAGGAAAAATTAAGCAGTGGTGACAATATTACTTTTTTTATAGGAGAATTTTGAAAAGAATCCTGTTAAGCAGGGTCGTACAATTCCGTAATATACCTATAAAATTTTATGTGACAGATACCAGAAATTTGGCATCTTGAATTTCTAAACCATTTGAGATTTGAAAGATGTGATAACCAGCTATTTATTGAAAGATAACAATGGAGCAGAGATTGACATTTGGTTGAATGATTTTAAGAGTTCTGTGATGTACCAAGGATAGACTTTTATACTCTGAGTTTCACACAGGGTTACAGAAAACTGGGGTTTTTTTTTGTTTTTTTTTTTGGGGGGGGAGGGGGTCATGGTTCTGGAGTTTGAACTCAGGGCCTACACCTTGAGCCACTCCACCAGCTCTTTTTTATGGTGAGTTTTTTTGAGCTAGGGCCTCCTGAACTATTTGTCTGGAGCTGGCTTCAAACAGCTATCTTCCTGATCTCTACCTTTTGAGTGGCTAGTATTACAGGAGTGAGCCACCGGTGCCTGGCTATCTTTTTTTTTTTTTTTTAAAGACTCACATTGTTCTGTGTCACTTAGTACCTAGTTGACTCAACATAAAATCTCAGTAGTGTATACAAGTTTGTTCAACAACATCATAGACTCCACATTCATCATATAAGGACTTATTACAGTGCATACATTTATAATCATGTGTGCTCAGAGCTTTCTTGGAATTTAAAGAACTGTTTTCCAGAGTTACAGATAAATAAGCCTAGACTGAAGAAAATTACTTATATCAGTGACTTAAATACATTATGAATTACAACTTATTTTGATACGACCTATTTCCAGCAATGCTTCCATGTTAATGTACTTGTCATTTTAATTTCAACATGGTTATTACCTATATTGAACTGTAGTTCTGTGTCAGCATATAGTGCCTCTGCTAAGGTATTCTTTTATGTTAGATTTGCAGTGTGGTCCTTCAGGCTAATTTTCTCACAGTTTTTTTGTCTTTTTGGTTTTGGTGTGGGGATTGAAGCCAGAGCCTCACGCATGCTAGGCAAGTACTTTACTATTGAGCCACATCCCAGCCCCTCACAATGAATTTTTAAGACATTGAAGAGACTGGTTTGAAATACTAACTTTAATATAGAGTTAGTACAGGTAATGCACTCTAGTTCTCTAATTAGAGAAAGTTGATCAAAAGAAAAATAAGATTATACTTCCTTTGAAGGAAAAAATAATCTTTCACCTAAGTTTGTTTCATCAATTTGTTTTTTTCTTTTTGTTTATTTATTTGAGACATAGTCTCACTGTGCAACCCAAGCTGGCCTCAAATTCAGGATCCTTGCTGCCTTAGCCTCTTGAGTGCTAGGATTACAGGGGAATGCCACCATACCTGGCTTTTCAATTTTTAATAGGAAAAAATTGTAACAAAATCACTTAGAGTAGATTTAGGATCTTTTTGTGCATGAGGCTAAACTGGGGATTGAACTCAGAGTCTTCTGCTTGCAAGGCAGGCATTTCTTAACCATACATTTGATTTTGGCAGTGTGAGTTGGTAGCAAATATCAAAACTTATGTGGGAAAATGTCTAGTTCTTTGGTTTGTTTGCTGCCAATTTGGGAAATGTGTCAGGTCATGATTTCTACGTGGCAGTTGCTTATGCTGTCTTTTCTTATTCTGTAAAGGGTAGGGTCCATGTAACTGTGGCCATGATTTTTTTCTGTGTGTTTGGCTCTTAAGAATGCTGGAATAAGCTGGGCACTGGTGGTTCATGTCTGTATTCCTAGCTACTTGGGAGGCTGAGATTGGGAGTAACATGGTTCGAGGCCAGCCCCAGGAAATAGTTCAAGACACCCAATCCCCAAAAACACCAGTACATAATGGCCTGGAGGTGTGACTCAAGTTGTTGAGTCCCTGCTTTGCAAACATGAAGTCTGGAGTTCAAATGTCAGTCCTACCAAAAAAACCAAATTGCTGGGACTATGTTGAGTAACTCAGCTTCCCTCTGGAGTAATCAGTTCATATGCTACTTGCAGTGGTTAATAAGTTCTCTTGTGTTCAAACTTCTTGTCCAAGAAAAACAACCATACTTTGGTCTAAGGAATGGTCTTGTACATGTCTAGAGTCTGTAACTGTGTTGTAAAATCCTTAAGGTAAAAATAAGCTATTTAAATCCTTTTTGTTGCCCTGAAAGATTCCAAGAAAATTTATACTATGTCCCAAACAAGGCTGGACTTTGTGAAAATACTCTGGAGAAAGTGTAATACAAAAATAAATCCAACTACTACTAAGTGTTGCCATTATCATCAGACAGTTTACACACACATTTTTTGGTGGGACTGGGCTTTGCACTTGCAAAGCAGCATTCTACCACTTGAGCCATGCCTTCAGCCCATTTTGCTCTGAGATGGGGTCTCATGAACTATTTGCTTACTTCCAACCACAGTCCACCCAATCTCAGTCTCCCAGGTAGCTAGGATTATAGGCGTGAGCCACCAGCATCTAGCTTTACACTTATTTTTTATCTTCCCCCCTCAATACTTGTATTAAAGGTTCCCCCTATTTTATGAATGAAGATGTTGAAAAGCAGGGTAAGTTGTGAAGGTGGGATTTGAAAACCACATTCTAAAATATTGATCTTTGTATTAAGGCAGTGTTTACCTATCTGCTTTAAGTGTGATCCACAGTGAGAAATTTTTACAGCATATATGTGTATAGTACTACAGAACCACTGTATTATGAAAGGTGCCTCTTGGACTTGTGCAGGCACGTAGGAACCCTCCTAAATTTCACCAAAAACAAAGCCAAACTATAACTTTTTGTCACATATGATGCACTTTAATATTTATTATTAGATTTAAAAAAATGCTAGTAATGATCCACTAAATTGATTTCATAACCCACTAGTGAATTGCATTCTGTAATCTGAAAGATACTCTACTGGATTCTCACTGTCTTGTCTAGATGGTGGCAGTTGGAAGGTGGCATGGAGAATGTAAACTGGAAACTGAAGGAAAAAAAATTAGAGGCAGAGCTGCATGTGGAAGTTGACCTTCAGACTTAAAAAAGAGGTCTTCTGGAATCTCTACCACATGCAATTATAAAAAGTTAAATTGCATTGTCTTAATTAGTTGATCGTGCTTGTCATGTGGATACTGCTTGCTCCTTGCTTGTAGGAGACTCACAGGGAATTGACTGGGAAAGGGAGTAGGAATGGATGGTGTTTCTTTGCTCTCAACTGAAGACCCTGCCATAAAGTCAGGAGTATAGTAGATTCTCCTCTGCCTTAGAATGGTGTTTCTTTTCATTTTGAATAAGCTTTCCCTAAAGTCACAGAAATTTATAAATTAAAAGTTCTAGAAGGTAACACTGTTTTCCTTTGAAAAAGATAATATTGAGCCTGTATTTGTAATGTCTTTATTTTTACATTTTTCTATTATTGTGTATTAATTATACAAAGGGTTTCATCGTAGTATTTCCATAT